TTAAAATATATTTTGTTTATTATTTGAATTTTGTGTATGAGTGTATTGCCTGCATGTTATGTTAGTGCACCCGTGTCATGCAATGCCGCAGTCAGAAGAGGGTGTTGGATTCCCCTGAAACTAGAGTTAAGGATGGTTCATAGCAGCCATGTGGGTGTTGGGAATCAAACCCGGGTCCTCTGCAAGAGCAATCAGTGCTCTTAACTGCTGAGCCATCTCTCCAGCCCCAATATATGTTCAATTCTACTTCTTCTTCTTTTTTTTTTTTAAATCTTTTTGAGACAGGGTCTTTTTGTAGCCCCAGCTGCACTGGAACTCACTATGTAGACCCGGCTGGCTGAACTCACAGAGATCCACCTGCCTCTGCCTCCCAAGTGCTGGGATTAAAGGTGCGTGCCACCATGCCCAGCATGTTCAATTCTTATATGACAAGCCAGTGACAGAATCTGACCAACATAGAGTAAGATAGCAAATCTGTTTTATGTATGAATAAATTAATTGTGAAATTGAATACTCCAGAGTCTGGCCTGAAATTCAGAAGTAAACCCAACCAGGTCCAGCCTAAAACAGGGGATAGCAAGCTTACTCTCACATATGAACTAGAATGAAAGCATGAGTTTAAACATGCACTGGTACACAATATTGATAAACTGTCAGCTCTATTATAGTCAGAGGTGATTGTGAGGCAATTTCTTAAATTAGTGAAACCCTTAGAATACAGAATGTGAAGTACTTTGAAAGGCACAGGAAGGTGTTCAGGCTACAGAGAACAGGCATGAATGAAAGCATCTCATTGGTTTTATGTACATAACAGAAAACACTAAATACATGCATGTAAAGAAGCCTTACTTCCACCAACTTTGTCTCTGTGGACTAATACGATAAGAAATAGAAATAGTATTAACCATTTCTGGGTAGGTTACCTTATACAGATTCTTTGTTGATTGTTAGGTGAAGACTAACAGGATAACTATGAGACATATTTAATTAAACTTGTGGAAAGTCTGCCTTATAAGAAATGAGATAGCAAATTTTCTACTAAAGTATCGAGTCCTACGTGCACATCAACCACAAGCTTATAAACATAAGCATCAGAAAAACATGTGCTGCTCCATCAACATGCATTTCTCATCACATCCACCTTCCTGAATCAGATAAACTCACCAGAGAACATGAACCATAGAACCTGTGCTTCATAGCTTTAGTGTCAGCTTGACACACTGGGGTTGAGGGAGCCTCAATTGGGGAATTGCCTTCACTGGATTGGCCTGTGGCCATTTCCATGGGGCATCATCTTGGTTGTTGTGGGAGGGCACAGTACACTGTGGGTGGTGCCATCCCTGGGAAAATGGGCCTGTGTTGCATAAGGAATCAGGCTGAGCCAGGGCCAGGGGAGCAAGCCAGTAAGCAGAGTTCCTCCATAGCCTGAGCTCCAGCTCCTGCCTCCAGGTTCCTGCCCTGAGTTCCTACCTTGGGCTCCCTGATGAACCGTCACCCAGTAGATGTAAGATAAAATAAACCCTTTCTTCCCCAAGTTGGTATTGGTCAGAGTATTTTGTCACAGAAATGAAGAGACAAACTAGGACAGAACTTTACCTCAATTTTCATATCTTTTCATTTTACTTTATTATTTTTCATCTTATGGTTTTAAATTCCATGATTTAAAAAAATAGCATTTTTTGGACCTTTTTAGAAGGAAAAAGACTGTTGTTATAGTCTTTGTCACATTGTGGCTCATTTCTACAAATGAATTCTTTACCTTAACAGTTACTCCCTGATGCACAGGGGAGGAAAAGAATTTAAGTGCATTCATTTCACTATTTTAAGGTAGATTGTGGTACAGAATATGGATCATCAAGGAAAAGGAGCATCAAAAATAAAAACATCAGTTGAATGTGTCATATTTGATAGTTTGATGGACTTTCATGCTCTAAGCCCTAATTCATCAGATTTGAAACAATAGTGGGTGACACCAGAGGATCTCCCCAGTTAATCTAGGCTGAGCATTCTCAGGGTAAATGAAGGAACTTCTTCCTCAGTAAGATGAAGATGCTGCTGCCTATGCTCAAGGTTAAATTAATTGCACCATTTTATTTTTCTTT